TTTCTCATTCATCCTTTTCTTCTCCCCTTTTTTCTTAACTATGACCTTCCATAACTTTAAGTATCCTTCCACAGCTAACAATGTCTCAGCCTTCCCTTCTTAGCTACTTTAGAGTTAATCGAATCCTTAAATCCTTGTCCTCACTCATCCCACACCCTTCCTATGTTAATCCCAAAGACTGGAGAAGAAAGATCACTTCTAATCCAAATCATCACGGTCAAATTCATTAAAGTAAGCTTTTTTATACTTGGGCTGTCACTCCCTAAAAATGGGGTTCAAGAGATCACCATTAAAGGTGAGGAAGACAAGGTTTTTATAGCTCAAGGGTAGGGGTTTCCAGATGGGGGACTTGACAGGCAAAATAGGTGGGGTTACAGGTGCAGAACATAGGCCTAACAAGGTAGCCAATAATGAGTTCCTAAAAACAAAGACATGATTACAATGTGATTGTAACAAGGTCGTCATAACAACAGGTGGTCACAACAAGGTAGTCTTAACAACCTTTTGAAACAAAGGTAGGGTTGCAAGATGGTGAAACAAAGACATGGTTGCCATTTCCTGGAACAGTATTCCAGAACCATTTGTAGTTAAGGTTACAGGTGGGACATAGCCCAATCCTTGAGAAACAGAGGTTTAACCATAAGCAGGAACGAATCTAGTTTATCTTTATAAACAGATGGCTTTTAAGCCTAAGGTGGAGGTAGGTTGATTCATGACCTCCTCCTAATATTATTAACTAAATATTAATAAAATTTGAGTATACACCATACAATCTTTTGTTGTTTACTCCCCAACAGTTTTAGAACTCTAAGGGCTACTGCTATCTGCTGACTAGAAGGACAACTCCATGGTGTTAATACCAAACAGCTGTGGTTGCTCTCTCAGTTCATCTCCAACTCAAGGAATAATAAAGGGCTTGCATCAGACACCAGGAGCCTCTGGTCTGAACAATTATTTCCTGAACTACACACTCAATATCAACACATCGACATGCCACCTGAACCCTAAAAATACTTCAACTAAAGAATCTAGCTGATAAACATGAGCTATCAAGTCCAAGACACTCTATTTTAATTTTTAAACAAGGTCTCATGTAGCTCTGGCTGGTGTGAAATGGCAATATGCAGCCAAGGCAGATCTCGAACTCACAAAGATCCAGATCCACCTGTCTCTGCCTCAAGAATGATGGGACTTCTGGGGTACCACCAGCCCCAGCCACTGTCACTTTATATAAGAACCTGGAGTATATCCCTGAATTTGAATATTGGTGGGAGGTCCTAAATCACTTACTGCAGATCCCCTCATACCCTTACGCTTGGATCTCAGCTAGAAGTGTCTTCTCAAGTCTTTGTGTAAGGCTGGAATGGTAATTTCCATACCTGGAAGCTACTGTTCATGTTTCTGACTCTGGGAGTTCCAGCTCATTTCAAAGCTTCAATTTCCATTTGAACCATCCGATCGAAGAGCTCAGTACCATGAAACGCTCTTATAACCTGAGCCAAGAGGATCTTGTGTTCAAGACCTGCCTAGGCAATGTAGGGAGAACCTGTCCCCCAAACAAATGGAAATCATTGCTTAGACACCTCTGGTATTAGACTGGAGCTCTTTCCCTTACTGCGCAGCTAAAATAATTCTGAAATGTAAAATTTCCATTTACATTTGTTTATTTGAGCCTGTGTGACAGTGCCACAGTCTGCCTTGGAGGTCAGAGAGCAGCTTGAAGGCATCGATTCCACTACCTGGGTCCTGGTGACCGAACTCATATATCAGACTGGCAGCCAGCACCTTATCCATGGAACGATCTTCTTTTGACCTCGCTGTCTTTTTTTCTGTTTAAGATTTTTTTCATTTATGTGTATGTGTCTGTAAGAGTTTATGTGCACCACATGAGGGCAGGAGGCTGTGGAGGCCAGAAGATGTGTTGGATCCTCAGATACTGGACTTACAGGCAGTGGTGAGCTACCCTATGTAGATTCCAAGAACCACACCTGTGTCCTCCGCAAGAATAGAAAGTACTCTTAGCCATTGAACTATTTCTCTAGCTCCTTTGTTTGCTTTTTAATTTTATTGTATTGTATGTACCAGTGTGTGTAATGTCTGTGAGTGTGGACGGGAGAGTGCTGCTGCCCACAAGTGTTTAGAAGACCGCCTGCGGTGGCAACTGCAACCTTCTACCCTGTGTGAGACACTGTCTCCTTGTCACTAAGTCCTAACTGATGGAGGGTTGCCTCCTACGTGAATTGGTAATCAAGAAAATGCCCCGTAGACATGTCAACAGGCCAATCAGAAAGAGGCAATTCTTTAACTAAGATTCCTTCCTTCCAGGTGGCTTTCCATTGGGGTGAGAGCTGAAAGTGACAATCATCAACAATGGAACCTCACCTTTTTGGGCTTGTGCCTCTGCCATGCTCTCCATGCGTTAGGAGTGTCTAGCCAGCATCCAGTGCTGTCTAGTTTGGACAAGAGTCAGCGGTTCTCACCCAGGAGATCACGCTTCAAATCATTAAAATATTGATTGTGGACATGCCTCATTCCACATCCTCTGCAGTTACGGGTCTAGCTGTGGCAAGCTTGCCTCTTTCGTTCTTTTTAAATTGGTGCTTTATTTATTTAGATTTTTATTGCATGTGTGTGTGTGTGTGTGTGTGTGTGTGTGTGTGTGTGTGTGTATGTATGCAGGTGCTCTAGGAGTCCCGATGGTGTTAGATACCTAGGAGCTTAAGTTACAAGCATTCCTTGAGCTGCGTGCCTGTGTGACATGGGAAATTGAACTCTGGCTCCCCTGGAAGAGCAGCCAGCAGTCTTAACAGTACTTGATCTTCCTGACTGAGTAGTAAATGTACTTAGCCATTGGGCCATCTCTCCAGGCCCTTCGTGTTTTATAAAAATTGACATGCTGCAATTGCACGTAATTTTTGCTATACAATATGATATTTCAGTGTCGGTGTGTAAGGATCAGAGTGCATAAGCCATGCTCTCTCCACGCATAGGGATCAAAACCAGAGCTTTATACCTTCAAGGCACGCACTCCACCATGTGAACTGTATCCCTGACCCTTAGCATTTGTTTATACTGGGAATGCTGGGAATTGTATCTTCTAGCTGGATTGAAACATTCAATGAGGTCTTGTGAGATTTAGTCGTACTTTGTTGTTGATATTTGAGGCAAGATCTCATTCTTCATCTTTGGATAGCCTGGAACTCTCTATGTAGACTACGCTGGCTGTCAACACAGAACAGAGAACCACCTGCCAATGCTTCTGCTTCCCAGCGTCGTGACTAAAAGCATGCATGGCTGACCAGAATATTAGGAGTCTTCCTTTGGGCATTTTACTACATTCTTAATTATGGATGATCCTTTACCCACCAACTCGCCAATCTCCCTGGCCCTCCTCCTTACTACACTGCCTTGCCCCAGCATTCTCTTTTCCACTTTCACATTGCATTTTGTGCTACCCAGCTTCACTGTGTATACATCAGCCATCGTGTCTCCACCCCCATGCCCCACAAACACATATTAGTCTCTTTCGGGGCTTCAGTTACTGAGGACGGACAGACCCACCCACTTGTTCACTGACTACAATATCCATCCTCCTCTCAGAGGGCTGCATCTGCACCAAGGCTGTGGAAAATGCTTTGCTCTGGGTGGGATCTGCTTTCCCATGACCTAGTTGTCTCTAGGAAGTCAAAGCTAACCCCGCCTTTCCATTTCTATCACGGGACCCCAGCATAGAGGGGATAGCCACAATAGAGGGTTCCCTGGTCTTTTTTTTTTTTTTTTTTTTTTTTTTTTTTTTTTGAGACAGGGTTTCTCCGTAGCTTTTGGTTCCTGTCCTGGAACTAGTTCTTGTAGACCAGGCTGGTCTCGAACTCACAGAGATCCTCCTGCCTCAGCCTCCCGAGTGCTGGGATTAAAGGCTTGCGCCACCACCGCCCGGCCTTTCCTGGTCTTTTGACAGCTGGAAACGATATGCAATAAGTAGGATACTTTTTTCCTTAAACTTTATTTTTATACATATAGGTGGCTTGCCTACATGCGTATCTGAGCACCACATCCATGCAATGCCCTCAGAGGTCAGAAAAGGCTTGCTCCATCTGATGGCACTGGAGTTACAGACAGGTGTAGGCAGCCGTGTGGGTGCTGGGAATTGAACCCAGGTCCTCTTTTAACTGCTGAGCCATCTCTCTGTCCCTGGTAGAAGTAAGTAGTAACACCGAGCGGTGGTGGCATACTCCTTTAATCCCAGCTCTCGGGAGGCAGAGGCAGGCGGAGCTCTGTGAGTTCGAGGACAGCCTGTTCTAAATGAGCCAGTACCAGGACAGGCTTCAAAGCTACAGAAAAACCCGAGAAAAAAAAAGTAAGTAAAACCAACCACAATGAAATGTTTTGACCTAACTTTTATTCCCAAGTTGCTCCTGGGAATAAAAATGCAATAATAAGAAAGGTCTGGAGAGATGGTTCATCGGGTTCAGAGCACTGGCTATCTTTGCAGAGGACCAGTGTTCAATTTCTACCATCTACATGGCTGCTCAAAATTGTGACTGTAGTCCCAGAAGACCTTAAAGCCTTCCCTAGCTTCTTCAAAGTACTGCACACACGGTGCACAGACATAGGGAAAACGCCCATACACAAAGATGAGTTTTAAAATATTAAGAAAAGAAATACAGGATCATTTTCTGATCCGTGTTGCAGGGCCACATGTCTTAACTTGTTGGTGGGCTGAGGCAGGAATATCCAAACGGTAAGGGCCTGCCTGCACTACAGAATTATTTCAACACCAGCCTGTCCAACTTTGTTATCGTGTTTGTGTGACACGTGCGTGGGGTCATGTGCATACCATGATGCTTGAGGCGGTCAGGGGAGTTGTGGTTGTTAATGCAAATAAGGGTCTCATCATCAAATCAGGTGCGCCTCTTTATCTGGGCCCATTTGGGCATGCTTAGGTCCTTTCCCCTCCCACTTCCAGATAGCTTATCTTTGCAGCCTTAGAGGCCTGTGAGCTCTTTCTTGGTGCTGCTTGGCTGCCTGCTTGCTCAGAACAGGTAAACTTGGGTGGGTGGGGCATAGAAAGTGTGGGTGGGAAGCCGGGAAGGGGTAGTGCACGCCTTTAATCTCAGCCCTTGGGAGGCAGAGGCCAGAGAATCGCTGTGAATTCGAGGCCAGCCTGGATATAAGAGCTAGGGCCAAAGTTACAAAAAAAAAAAAAAAAAAAAAAAAAAAAGAGAGAGAGAGACAGGAGGGAGGGAGGGATGGAGGGAGGGAATGGGAGTTTTAAGAGTTTTAACTGCGGAAACCTTGGGGGCACAGATTGTGCGTTTTGTGGGCTCTTTAGATTCTGGAGCCTCTTTTGAGAAAAACCAAATCAAATCGGATGTGGTGACCCACGCTTTTAACCCCAACCCTTGGAGGCAGAGGCATCTCTGGAAGTTGGAGGCCAGCCTAGTCTACATAATAATCTTCAGACCAGCCAGCGCTACATAGAAAGACCCGGTCTCAAAATTAATTGTTATTTAATCAAGAAAGACACGATCATTTCTGGATCGGCGTGCAGGCCTGCCAGTCAGATCCCAACACTGGAGGCTGAGGCAGGAGCATCCAATGTTTAAGGCCTGAATGAATTACACATAATGAATTCACGGCCAGCCTGTATAGTTTTCAGAAGGAAACAAAACCACTTTATTGTAGTGTCTGTGAGAGTTGGGGGGGGGGGTGAGGCTGTATCATGGTGCTTGTGGGGAGTTAAAAGACAACTTTGTGGAGTTGCATCGTACAGCTTTTCGTAGGTCTTGGGAATTGAATTCAGGTGGTCCTGCGTGTCACAGGACTGAAATCACCTGCACTCCAGGAGCCAACTCGATGGCCCAGCTGGTCCAATTTAATACACCTTTTTTTCGTTGGTTGATGGGTTTATTGTTTTGGGACCATATCGCACTTTGTGTCCTGGCTGGCCTGGAACTCAGGGGCATCTGCCTCTCTCCACGTCTGCAATGGGGTGAAGGGTCCACTTGGGACTGAAGGGGACCTGGATCTGTAGAAGCAGACTAAGGGAATGAAGGGCGTAAACGGGGTATCAGGGCCAAGGAAAATCAGGGACTGATATGTGTGAAAGGTGATAAGCTTCATGGCCTCAAACTTGTCCTCCTACCCAGCTTCTTGACTTCTAGGCATTCTGATGTGGATCCCCAGGGCCCAAATGGTGGAAAGAGACAAGCATTTCCCACAAACTGTTACCTGGCGTCCACACGGAGACCATGACATGGCATGCCCTTCCCCATATAAGCTAATAAATACCTTTTAAAGAATTAAAATATATTTAATAGATAATAGATTCTCATGGGGAAAGCCGCTCATCCCCCTGATCTTGGCAAGGACCCTGCCTCAGTTTCCTTCCCCAGTGATTGCGGGATACGCCCCACACCCCTTTCTTCCAGTTCAGCTTGGTGATCATCTTTTCATTTATTGCACCCGACTTCCCAAAACAGCCACTAAAGCCTGCAGAAGCCAAGCTCGTCAGTAGCATTTAGCTCATTCATTGGAATCTGGGGTGCAACACTGCTGTTGGAGCCCACTGTCTAGCTGTATCTGTTTGTATCGTCATAGATAGTATACAAATGGTACTTCATCTTGTGAAATCCTCTTTAGTTACATTTAGGATTTTGATAACTCTCCAATCAATGGAGTATTACAGACTATTTCATACTATTGTATGAAGCATTTCAATATAAGTTGTTTTGTTTTTCTTTTCCTTTCTTTCTTTCTTTCTTTTTTTTTTGAATTTTTGTTTTTTTGAGACACAGTTTCTTCGTGCATCCCTGACTATCCAGGAACTCATTCTGTAGACCAGGCTGGCCTCTGCTTCCCGAGTACTGGATTTAAAGGCATGTGCCACCACCATCCGGCTCAATACAGTTTTAAAGGCTGCACAGTAATGTGTGAGTCCACAGAAGGAGAGCCCGGCATTCCCGCGTCATCGGTGCCAGCTAGCATTCCAACCTATCTGGCTGGCTGGCTCTGTATTTATTTTTGAGGCAAGGTGTCATGTTTCTCAAGCTGGTCCCAAATTCCCTATGTATTCTAGAATGACTACGAACTTTGGAATGTTGTTGTTTGGTCGGTTGGTAATGTATTGAGTTGCATTTTGTTTTGCTTAGAGACAAGTTCTTTCCATTTAGCCCAGACTAGCCTTAATTTGCCATTGCCTTATTTCAACCTCGCACATGCTGGGATTGCAGGGGTTTAATATACATATATATGTTACACTTGAGACCAAATCCAGAGCTAGGTGCATGCGAAGCAAGCACTCAATCTGCTGAGCTTCAGCCCCAGCCTTGATTTTTTTTAATATTGTTTTTTTTTTTTTATGTTAAAGGAAGGAAAAATGTGTTCAGGAAGAAAGTAAAGTCACCAAGAGCATGGGTGTGGATTTCATCAGGGGTATGGGTTTTGAAGAACTGGATTGTCCTGCCACTTTTCTCGTGGCAGCAGCAAGTTCCCAAGTATGAGTTTGTGGAAATTTTGTTTTGGAGTACCCAATTCCAGCTGGCAGTTCTTGATCCTGAGATTATGCTGTAGACTATGAATAAGAGTCCAGATAGTCTTCTTGATTTCCAAACCAGTTCAGAAGGCACTGTGATGTACCTGCGAGGTTGTACTTTAATGGGATAATACCAGTGCGTTGTCTCCACAACAAAGTTCCATTAGACTCTCACAGTTCCTTTGTGCATGGAGAAAATCTTTGAAGTGGTGAAGTGTCATTTACCCAATTACCTTGAGGAAGCAATCACTTTGTACAATAAGTACATTGTTTATCATGTCCCATAATTAATTTTGGAAACATTACAAGACATCCCTCCAAAGCAATATTCTTTGCTAAACATACAGGGATAGCTTTGCCATACCCAACATGAGAAAATTTTCAAGTAATCAGGAACTCTTGTATGGCAGGTTGATCTAAAAGATGTATGTGGTTGACTGTGACTACAATCTCCTTTCCTTCCCAAATAGCAGGATGTAAAACAGGTGGACCAGGAACATAGGCCCAATCGGCCTCACTCTGGCTTTTCTGGAGTATCCTCAGGACCATCAGAATCAGCATCTTTCTGAACCACACACCATGCTAATTGAATTTCAATTTCATCCTGTAGAAAAAAAAAACCCACAAACATGCCCTCTCCCTATACCACAACATTGTCAGGACCCTTTCATAAACAAGTAGATGCATCTTCCATTAAACTTGAGCAAACTGTGTGGTGATGTTCTCATGCTGGTGGTGTTTTCATGCCGAAATCTATTCATGGGAGATTGCTCAGACAACCAGTTTTAAATTTTTAAATTTTAAAATTAAAACACATATATTGTGACTGTGGGTATAACCCCAATTCTCCCTTTTTTGTTGTATTTTTAAGATTTCCATGTGATATTTCAAAATTTCTTGCTTCTGCATAGTACATCATCTGAAATCCTTGAGATGAGTTTGTTCCAGAGACCGATATTGAAGATTTAGCATCATTAGTTTAAGGGCACCCAGGTAGGAATTATTATTTATTGAAGAAATCAATGACCAAAATCCCTGTGATGACTGACAGAAATTTCCTTTTTTTAATCTGACATTCCAGGGGGTGGACAGGGACGATGTGTTCATTGCTGTAATTACTTGCCTGGAAGGCAAGATTGTTGGTCAAAAGCAATGAGGGAACTTAGAAGGATTGGGTTCATTGACAAGCTGAAAAGACAGCAGTCACATTGGCTGGACTTGTCCACATCAGGTTTGAGTAAGTTCAGGACTCATAGTCTTTTGGAGCAGGTTGTTATAAGCAATTGATGCTTGGATGTGTTTGTCAGCCAAGTGGAAACCTGGAAAAACAGTTACAAACTGGGAACAGAAGTTAAATTTATGGACTCATTTGAAATTTTTATACTCATATTCTTAATAATTAAGGAAGGGGAAGAATCCCAAGACCAGGAGAGAGAAAAAATATTGTAATCATTTTGACATGTGAAAAGGGGATTCTAGGTATATAATTTTCTAAATTTTCCAAAGTTTGTAGGAATCTCCATTTTATAAAAGCACATAAAAGTTTCCAATATATTAGCATTATTAGTTTGTACTGAAATCCATACTTTAGAAAAGGGAGGCAACAGGTATCTGTGAAACAAAGGAATAGACTCATACCCTGGAGTTTTATCAAAAACTATGATTTGGGTTAAACAGCATATAAGCCTATATTCAGAAGACAATCAAAAGAAACTTAAAATCTTGAGCTTGTGACACAAACAGTAAGTAATCATTGCTCTATTAGCTTGTCAGAACTCTATTAATGTTAAACTCTGAACTTCTGAAATCCTAGTATAAAAATATTATGAAAGAGGAAAGAAATCTTGTAAATTTCTATATATATATCTTAAGCTATTATTTCTTATAAATTTTATCTATATTTTTAGACTATCTTCTCAGACCCATATAATCTCCAAGCTTTTATGCCTTCAAACCCTTACAACCTGTATTGATATTCTCAGTTCATTATTTTTTCGACCCTCAAAATTAATATAGACTCATAAGCATTTTGTCCTGTGACTAACCATCATAGGAGCAGTTAGACTGCAGTTCATTTACTGACCACAGATGTGATGTTGAAGTTTTTAAGAGCATGCTTGGACTTTTCTATGGAGGCCTGAAGAGATAAGAGCTTTAGCCTTGTTATTTTATAGGAGGCCAATCATATAGGCCCCTATAACTCAGAGAGTTGCACTATGATATTAACTATTAACTTGTATTTAGGACCTCAGTCTTCCTTTCACCTTTAAAGAGCATGATTGCATGCTCTTTAAACTATTTAAACATAACTATTCTTCACTGAAGAATCACCAGCCTTATTAGTGGAGAAAATCAGAATTAGCGTAACACGGTTAAATATTCGGCATTTTTATAGTTTCCTTATAAACTCAGCATTGTACATAGATGAATTTTCTTTTTTTATTTTGTTGATTTTTATGGAGCTCTACATTTTTCTGTGCTCCCCTCCCTGTCACTCCCTTTCCCTTCAACCCTCATCCCAGGTCTCCATGCTCCCAATTTACTCAGGAGAGCTTGTCTTTTTCTATTTCCCATGTGGATTAGATCCATGTCCACCTCTCTTAGTGTCCTCATTGTTGTCTAAGTTCTCTGGGATTGTGATTTGTAGGCTGGTTTTCTTTGCTTTATAATTAAAAACCACTTATGAGTGAGTACTTGTGATAAATGTCTTTCTGTGTCTGGGTTACCTCACTCAAAATGATGCTTTCTAGCTCCACCCATTTTCCTGTAAAATTCAAAATGTCATTATTTTTTCTGCTGTGTAGTACTCCATTGTGTAAATGTACCACATTTTCCTTATCCGTTTTTTTGGTCAAGGGGCATTTAGGTTGTTTCCAGGTTCTGGCTATGAACACCAATGCTGATATGAGCATAGTTGAGCACATGTTCTTGTGAAACAATTGAGAATCCTTTGAATATATACCCAAAAGTGGTATTACTGGGACTTGAGGAAGGTTGTTTCCTAATTTTCTGAGAAATCGCCATACTGACTTCCAAAGGGGTTGTACCAGCTTGCACTCCCACCAGCAATGCAGGAGTGTTCCCTTTACCACACAACCTCTCCAGCATAAGTTGTCATCAGTGGTTTTGATCTTGGCCATTCTTACAGGTGTAAGATGGAATCTCAGAGTTGTTTTGATTTGCATTTCTCTGATGACTAAGGATGTTGGACATTTCCTTAAGTGTCTTTCAGCCATTTTAGATTACTCTGTTAAGAGTTCTCTGTTTAGGTCTGTACTCCATTCTTTTTTTGGATTATTTGTTTTTTAATGACCAATTTCTTGAGTTCTTTGTATATGTTGGAGATCAGGCCTCTGTCTGATGTGGGGTAAGTGAAGATCTTTTCCCATTCTGTAGGCTGTTGTTTTTGTCTTGTTGACCATGGCCTTTGTTTTACAGAAGCTTTTCAGTTTCAGGAGGTCCCATTTATTAATTGGTTCTCTCAGTGTCTGTGCTGCTGGGGCTATTTTTAGGAAGTGGTCCCTGTGCCAATGTGTTCAAGTGTACTTCCCACTTTCTCTTCTATAAGGTTCAGTGTGGCTGGCTTTATGTTGAGGTCTTTGGTCCATTTGGACTTGAGTTTTGTGCATGCTGATAGATATGGGTCTGTTTTCATTCTTCTACGTGTTGATATCCAGTTATGCCAGCACCATTTGTTAAATATGCTTTCTTTTTTTCCATTTGATATTTTTTACTTCCTGGTCAAAACTCAGTGTTCAAAGGTGTGTGGATTAATATCCAGGTCTTTGATGGATATGGGTCCATTGATTCTCCTCTCTGTTCTTATGCCAATACCAGGCTGTTTTCAGTATTGTAGCTCTGTGGTAGAGTTTGAAGTCAGGGATTGTGATGCCTCCAGAAGTTCTTTTATTGTACAGGATTGTTATGGATATTCTGGGTTTTTTGCTTTTCCATATGTAGTTGAGTACCTTTCTTTCGAGGTCTTTGAAAAATTTTGCTGGGATTTTGGTGGCCATTGCATTGAATCTGTATATTGCTTTTGATAAGATTGCCATTTTTACTATGTTAATTCTGCCTACCCAGGGACATGGGAGATTTTTTCCCCTTTCTGGTGCCTTCTCCAATTACTTTCTTCAAAGATTTAAAGTTCTTGTCATACAAGTCTTCCACTTGTTTGGTTAGAGTTACTCCGAGATATTTTATGCTATTTGTGGCTATTGTGAAGGGTGTTTTCTCTGATTTCTTTCCCAGTCCTTTTATCATCTGTGTACAGGCGGGCTACTGATTTTCTTTTTTAGTTAATTTTGTATCCTGCTACATTACTGACAATTCACTATCCCCTGAAGGAAGATAGGGGTTCCTCTTTCATTTCTTCTTCTTGTTTTTCATGCTGTGCAGCTAACCTCTTTTTTGTATTTAAACCGTGCAACTGCTTAGTTTTTTGTATTTACGCCGCTCAAATGCTGAGGTTTTTCTATTTACAGCTGAGGCTCCCTGGATATACTTACTGCACCTCTGAGTGCCCTTGGAATCTGCGGTGTCCCTACAAAGACACCCCTCCCTAGAAGGCTGTATAGCTGGGTGTCACCTGTAGGAGCCTACTCCTATAAGGTCAGCTAGGTTCCTGGATAGGAGATCCTTTAGACCAAAGAAAAGTCAGAAGAAACAGAAGACAGGATAGAATCGGGAGGTCTGTCTGGTCATATCGAAGCAACCAAACAGCCCAGAATTTATTTCAGAACTTGCTTATATGCCAAAGGAGAACAAAGCACAGCCTAGACGGTCAGTTGGTATCTGACCACAAGACCATTCCTGTCCTTGAGTGAGTAGCCTCCTTCCCAACATGTGGTTGCTGCTGTAAGCAGCCTTACTTTCTTTTTTTTATATTTATTTATTTATTTATTTACTTATTTATTAAAGATTTGTCTCTTCCCCACCGCTGCCTCCCATTTCCCTCCCCCTCTCCCAATCAAGTCCCCCTATCTTGAGGTTCCTGGGGTTTGTCGTCAGCATTATATTGTCTACTACATAGAGTGTTCTTTTCTTGTGGGTTAAATCAGAAGTCTCTCGTAGCCCTAAAGGTTATAGGAAAAAATAGAGCAGGCAATCTTTGAACTCAAATAACTTAGNACTATATATATATATATATATATATATATATATATATATATATATATATATATATCATACTATATATTAAACATTTTACACACACACATATATATACATATACATACACATAGTATATTTACATGCTGGTACATGCCTGATGTGTATGGGTGTTTGAGCCATAGTGTGCATTTGGAGGACAGAGGACAGCTTTGTGCTGTTGGTTCCCTCCTCCTACCTTTGTTTTAATGTGGTGTGTGTGTGAGTGTGTGTGTGTGTTCATTCATTTGTTCATTTCCTTACTCAAGCACATACCATAGCCCACATGTGGCAGTTAGAGAACAGTTTACAGAATGGTTCCTTCTTTCCATCATAGAGTTCTAGGGCTACAAATAAGGTCATCACGGTTGGCCTCAAGCACCTCGGTTCATGTGGCCATGCTGTTGGCTCTCTTCCTATCTATGCATGCTGTCTTGGGCTCACAACCACTGAAGCCTCTAGCTCCAGGGGGGATGCCATGCCTGTGGCCTCCCTGGGCACCTGCACTGATGTTTACATATACATAATTAAAAATTATAAAAGTAAAACTTTTTTTTTCTCATCCACAGGAATGTTAGGTCCATCACACCTGTGAGTACTTTCTTAATGCTCACGACCCAGTCTGTGAGACAGCTACAGGCTTTCAACTCTTCTCCACTCTCGAGTTCCATTCAGGCGCTTTAGTTAGATGTCAGGGAGTACCACCACTCTACAAGGCCAGTGAAACCTACAGCCGCTCATTCTGCAAGGGCTTCGAAGGACACCCTCAGCTCACAGTGTCGAGTTCCTAGGAGACAGGCCCTGCCAAGGGGCCTTCTCCACCGGCTTTGCTCACGGGCCAATGGACTTCTCCACAGCCCTGAAAAAATTGCAGGAAGCATGCACTTGTTACATTTGCTCGGCTCTCTTCAGAGACCCAGTGACCATTATCTGTGGGCACAACTTCTGTCAGGAGTGCCTCAGTGTTTCCTGGGAGGATCTAAGGGATGTCTTCCCCTGCCCTGTCTGCAAGGTTGATTCCTTCGTGAGACACTGGCACAGGAACCCCCAGATCTGTAACTTGACTGATATTGTGAGGGAGCTGCAGAGACCGAGCAGAGGGAGGAGGCAGAAAGTCTACACTGTGTGTCAGAGGCACAACAAGAATCAGACCGTTTTCTGCATGGAGGATCAAGAGCTCATATGTCCCCAGTGCAGGTTCGCTGATAAACACTATACGCACTCCGTCTGCTTTGTGAATGCTGCCGCCATTATTTACAGGAGGATGCTAAGCCACAGCATGGAGCTTCTGGAGGACAAAGTGAAACAATGTAAGAAAGCACTGCCCCTGCAGCGCAGAAAAACTTTTGAGCTGAGGAAGAAGTTCAGATATAAGAAAAAAGAGATCTGTTTTGAATTTGAGCAAGTCAAACTGTTTCTGCAGACTGAGCATGATGCTCTTCTAAACGAGATACACACTGAGGGGCTGCTGGGTTTATCAACGCTAAATGAGTGTGTTGGGACCCTGGCAGAGCATTTATCTGCATTAGAAGATCTGTTGAAGGGGGCACAGGCCAAGCATGTGCAGACGGATGTTGCATTTCTGGCAAGCCTTCTGAGAGAGTACCACAGATGTGAAAAGCCAAAACGCCCCCCACTCTGGTCATACAGGACAAAGCAGTATGGTCTTAGTCTCCCGCCACAGTACTCAGGCTTGGACAGAATCATCAAGCGATTTCGGACAGATATGCATTTTGATCTTGACGCAGCACACCCTCAGCTTGTTATCTCTGAGGATAGAAAATCCGTACTTTATAAAGAAGCAACACAAAGCGTTGATGCTAGCCCTCACAGATTTCACTGGCCTGCTCTCCTGGGATGTAGAAGCTTTCACTCAGGCCGTTCCTTCTGGGAAGTGAAAGTGGGAAACAAGCCCCTGTGGACATTGGGTGTGTGTCAAGATGGCTTTCCCAGGCAGTGCAGCGACCAACCCTCAGTTGCTGAGGGCTTCTGGGCAATTGGGAGATACAGTGAGAGTGGCTATGTCACCTGTGGGCCCAAAAGAACTGCGTTTCTGCCAGTGGTGCAGCCCACCAGCATTGGCATCTTTTTGGATTATGAGTTGGGTGAGCTCTCCTTCTATAATATGGATGACAGGTCTCTCCTCTACACGTTCAATCATTCCTTTACCAGTGCCATCTGGCCTTATTTCTGTACAGGAACAGATCCTGAACCTCTTAAAATCTTGGTACGCTATCCCATCCTACGTCGGTGTCATCTAGTCCAGAGGCCTTAGTGCTTTGGCTAATTTAGCAAGGGCATTTAAGCTTGTAATTAGACAAAACAAGACAAAAGCAAATCCAAGTTCAGCCAACTCTGAGAACCATGGTGCTACCACAACTGTGACACACACGTGACCACTCAAGCACCCAGGAGATCTACAGCAACAGGAAGACAGACCAGCCTAGGCCCTGTCGGCTTCATAGAAGTTGTGGAATGAGTTAGTTGTCAAGTGTTTTTAAGCTTATTTTACAGGATCACTTCTTAATTTTGGGTTTGTGGGGATGGGGTGTGTGTACGCGTGTGTGTGCATGTCTATGTGCGCGTGTGCTCTTGTGTGGGTGGATGGGCAAGGGCTTGATGCAGCGCACACGGAGAGGGTAGAGGATAGTCCTCTTCCTTGTTTGAGGTGGTTCTCTTGTTTGGCATGGCACATGCCAGGCCTGTGAGTTTCCGGGGATTCGGCCTGCCTCCTATCTCCCAGAAAACAGATTCCCATCAAGTCTGGCTCTATGTCAGCCCTGGGAATCAGAGCCATCACCTTTCTCACAGGGCCATCTCCGCAGCCTTCAGTCACGTTTTCTCTGTTCTTGATAGATTCCATACAGCTAAGGCACTGGCATCTAAGTCACTAATAGTTGACGAGGACCTTGAACTCCTGGTTCTCCTGCCTTTGCCTCCTTGTCTCCATGAGAAAATGTGTGCACACACTAGAGCTGTTTTGGTTGTACAATGACTTGTGCATTGGCAGTTGGAAAGATTCATAGCACATTTGTGGTGGGCAGAGAACTTATTTATGGCAGTTTGTGCTCTACTCCCAAAATAGTTGTAGATATCAAATGCAGATCATCAGATTTGGTGGCAAGTCTTGACTTGGTGACCCCTCTGAACCACCTTCCTAGCCTTTTATTTTTGAGACAGGATCTCCCTCTGTAACCAGGTTGACCAACTTGCTGTGGTCTTCTGAGCATCCTGTGCGCTGGGATGCCATCTAGCCTAAGAAAACTTGACCTCTTGTTTCCTACTCTCATACTGAAGATTAGAGCCAGGGCATGAGGTAGTCAAGCATTCTAGCCCTGAGCTATACCCTAGCACTTGTTTTTAATCCACCTTCTCAACCGCTAATCCTTCAGACATGCACTCACACTTCTCCCAGCTGAGTTTACAGTGATTGTTTTAATGAGTTCAACTTCCATCCACATAGATCAAGCCACTGCATCCTCAGTTTGTCTCCCAAATGGGGCATCAGCATCTGTCACTTGAATCACTGTTTTCTTGCCTTGACTCATTCATTCAAGGCCTCTTCTTCCCCCATAGTCTGTTCTCTGGCATGCATTTTTATTGTGGGGGGGGGGGCTGGGCGGCGATGTGCACCTGAATGTACGTGCATGTTGAGGCCAGAGCACAACATCAGCTGTCAGCCTCGGGATTCTGTTCACCTCCTTTGAGGCAGGGTCTCTTACTGGTCTGGAGTTACATGCACAATTAGACTAGAGTGGCTAGCCCATGAGTCCCAGGTATCCTGTCTCTCCCTTCTCAGCATTGGGATAACAGATGTGTGTGCGAATACTTGGCGTTTTTATATGTGTTCTTGGGATTGAACTCCGGTCCTTATGCTTTGGAGGCAAGCTCTTTATCAACCGAGCCATCTCTTAAACATGGTTAGCCTTTGGTGGTGTAGGCCCATAATTCAGTGTTTCAAAGAGCTGAGGGCAGAGTCATATGAGTTATAGAACAATCTGGACAATATAATAACATTCTATAAAATACAATTCATATAATAAAATAAAAACCTATACTCCCAGACTCAGGGAGGTGGAGACAGGAGGATCCAAAGTTGAAGACCATCCTCAGACACAGCCAGTTCCTTGCCATCCTGGGCTATGTCAGACAGAGTCTTCAGAAAACAAACAGAAAACTTTCGTATTTGTTGGGATAAATGTTTTGATCCTGCAGTTTGAGACTGAAGCATGGCAGAAAATGTTGCTATTTCCTGTTCCTTTTGAATGTTGGTAGTGACCACAGACTTAGAGCTCCCATGATAAATTAGCTGTTGTCAAATGAATTCTTCATGTTTCCATATGTATGTAAGACTTTGATGGGGGGAAATGTCTATTAAAAAAAAGACCAATATGCCAGCATCTGGGAAGCAGAGGCAAGTGGATTTCTGACTTCAGAGGACAATTTACATAGGGAATTTCAGGATAGCCAGAGCTACCTAGTGAGACCCTGTCTCAAAAACTAAATAAAAGTATGCTTTTAAAAAGTGATAAACATGTGAGGTTCTTGTTTTCTTCCATATTTACTTCATAGGTGAAATTAAGAAATGTATTAGTGCTGGGCTGAGGTGGTGCATGCCTTTAATCCCAGCACTTGGGAGGCAGAGGCAGGCAGATCTCTGAATTTGAGGCTAGCATGGTCTACAAAGCAAGTTCTAGGACAACCAGACCTACACAGTGAAACCCAGTCTTGAAAAACCAGGAAGGAAGGAAGGAAGGAAGGAAGGAAGGAAGGAAGGAAGGAAGGAAGGAAGGAAGGAAGAAAGGAAGAAAGGTGTATTTGTGGAAGCAGATGGGTAGGACATGGTGCTCCACATCGCATTCCAACACTCAGAACACAGAAAAAAGGGGGGTGTTGCTGCAAGTTCCAGCACAGCCTGGGCTACACAGAAGATCCTGTCTCAACACAGAACTTTATATGGGCAGTCCTCACTTCCTGAACCCAGACCCACACTTGGCATGTCTTATGTTACCTGACTGCCTCAAGAAGACTGTGCCTAGGCTCTTTGTGTCCTTGAGTTCCTTTTTACACTCTGGGTGCATGTATGCACATGTGGTGTGTGTGTAGAGCTAGAAGGGGTCTGTGTGTCAGATTCTTTGCAGTTGTAATTGTAGGTGGTTATGAGCCAAAAGACAAAGATGCTGCTAGCCAAACTCAAGTCATTTGGAAGAGGAGCAAGCACTTTTAACCTCCGAACCATCTCTTTGGTCCCTTAAAATAGCTTTATTAAAGCTCAGTTCCTCTTCATAGACAAAATACTGCATACAGGCAAAAGCTTACAGGTCCGTCCAATTTTCTGAATTATCCAGAAAAGCACAACTTCAGTTACTTCTATATGGTAAGCATGCTTCCCTTAGAGATTGGGTTGTCTGGGGCTTCCTCATGCCTTCCTTAAAACCTCCCTCCCCATCAGCTGGCTACTTGCCAGTCATGAATCTTCCCTCCATGTGAGCTTCAGGGTGTAGATTTTTCTTTCTCCATAGGCCTCCTTCAGGCAGCCACTCATGATTTGCACCACACATGGATGGGTTGAAGGTTTAGAGTGCTTGCTGCTCTTTCAAAATGAATTGGTTCCCAGCATCTTTGTCTTTTGGCTCATATCCACCTACAATTACAACTGCAAAGGATCTGACACACAGACGCCTTCTAGCGTGCATACATGCACCCAGAGTGTAAAAAAAAAAAAAGCGTTCACAAATTGAGCTATAAAAAAATATGTGGTGTGCTTTAAAATTTTCCCAATTTACCCATGTCTGTGAGTATGTGTATGAGTGGTGTGGGTGCCTTCGGAGTCCGAAGTTTGTCTTCTGTGATCTCTACATGCACAATATGGAACAGATTTGCCCTCATACCACACACACATGTGTCCAGCTTGGTCTACATGAAATCCTGCATCAAGTAATCATCAAGACACAGATCAGGGTGGAGGTTGGGAGGGGAACAAGCCACGCATCATGGCTCATGTCATCTGCTCACTTGGGCATCAGAGGCAGGAGGATCATCACATAGTCAAGGCCAGCGTGGCCTAGAAAGCAAATCCTGTTGTAACTCTGGGAAGACCTGGTCTAAGAAAAAAGTGTGTATGTGCATGCATTTATTTATTTATGTTTTGAAACACAGGGATATTTTACTATAGCCGAAGAGAAAAGACTCTGAAGGCACCCGCACCACTCATGCACATACTCACAGACATGGGTAAATTGAGAAAATTTTAAAGCACACCACATATATTTTTAGAGCTCAATTTGTGAACGCACCACACCACACCACAGCATGCAGTACTGCGAAAGTCGTCTTTTGGCATGACATGACTATTGCTGTGTGAGAAAAAAAGTAGCTAGGGTAACTCCCAGGGGACCATCATGAGACTGAGCACACTGACTTCCTCTCTTGGTAGGGGTGGGACCCACAAGGTCACATTAAACCTTCAGTGGGAACCTCTGTAAACCCACAGGGCTCTTCAAGTGTCTACTCGTGATTCACCGCTGCTGGCATGGCAACAGTCTCCCTGTTGGTGTAGCTGCCTAGGGTTACCTGTGCTTTGTCTATCACTCCATCCAACTCATTGGTTCTCCATGCAAGACTTGGGTGAGGTGAATTCTGGGGACCGTCTGGGTTGATGACGCATCAGTTCACGTCACCTCAGGGAAAGCTAACACAGCCACCATCTGGGACAGAAGACAAAACATCAGCTTTCCCTGTCACCACCTCCTAGTCATTCACCACAGACGAGACTGCCTGTTGTTGATGTTTTTCAGGGAAAGAGGGCTCGAGTCTGAGGATCAAATACAGGACTGAAAGCAACCTGTCATAGCACAGGCTTCCAGCTCTGCCACTAGGGAGGCTGAGGCAGGGAGGTTGCTTGGAGTTTCAGATCAGCCTGGCTGACAGAGTAAAGTGACATTGATCAGTGTGTAAAGATCTGTGCTAGGTCCAGGGACCCATATGATGAACTGGGAAGTGGACAGAAAGTGATTCAGGAGCTGAGGCAGCCCCACTGCAGCTAACCCAACCCGCGCGAGTGTCCTACAAGCTACACACTAGACCGGAACCAAACCCACAGTTGACTTGTGCCTAGCTAGTCAGCATGAGACGTGTGGCTATATAACAAACACAGGCTCTTCTGGGTCTGTGTGCTCTCTGTGGGATCTGTCCCCAGGTCGGGCCAGACGTGAATTAAATTGGAGCTCTCCAGCTGATGTGAAGAGACCTGAGGGTGGGAGCGAAATCTTGTGTCTGAAATAAATGGAGATGAATGCGTCAGATGCTGGGGATGTGGCTCATCTAGCATTCAAGAAACACTTGGTTCATCTCTAGCGCTGCCTAAACAGAGGAGATGGTGCAGGCCTATAATCTCAGCAATAGGCAGATGAAGCAGGAGGATCGGAAGCTCAAGTTCACCCTGAAGTACATACCAAGCTCTAGGTGCCTGGAAGACATGAGACCCGTCTACCCCCTCCCATGCCCACAAACACCCCAAAGAGAGAGGGAGAGAACGATTTTTCTCCAAAATCAGTCCCGTCACCCATCATCATCACAACACTCCAGAGGGAGGCAGGAGGACTTGGATGACTCCAATAGGATACACAGCAAGAAAGTCTAAAAAAAAGTGAAGAAAGACAAAAGAGAGAGAGGGAGAAAGAGAGAAATTGTGGATTCTTAGCCTTGTGTCTCAGAATTGATCTGTTAGCTAAAGACAATGAGGCATCCCACTTCTTTCTATAAAATTATTTATTTAAATAACTAGGCAAAATAAACTTAAATCCACAGAAAATTTCAGAATATGCCAAGCTTCTGCTCATCCTTCAATTAGACTCCCCTGGCCTAGCTAATGTTTATTTTTGACCATTGGTGGCATACCCTCAAGCCACCTGGTCTGAGTTATCAGGAGTTCAAAGCCAGCCTGGTCTTTCTTTCCTTCCCTTTATGTGGGTTCCTGGGATCAGACATCCACCATCAGACTTTGATGAACAGTTTTACTCACTGAGCCTTCTAGACTACCTGTGTTTCATTTTTATTTTATTCGAGACGAGCTTCATCTAGCCTTGAATTAAGGATTCCCCTGTCCCTGAAAGCTGGAATTGCAAATGGGCTTCATGGCACCGGTTTCTGTGTAGACATGAGGAAGTTTGGAAAGGAATGTGCTAGAACTAACCAGGGCTGGTGACATGAGAGGAAATGCCACTTGATGTGGATTGATGTAAAAAGCAGGAGAGCAGTCATTTCTGTTAGCTACAGGGTATGGGAGTTACGAGTCTGCTGCTCTAAGAAGAATCACACTTGGAGACTGTGAACTAGATCTTTATACCTCTATACAGTGATCTACAGGGCTTCCACGGAAGTGAGTGCAGGACCTCCCTCCAGTGCCCACAGCTGTGGGTGCAGGAGGCTCTTATATAAAATGACAGAGTGAAGCTGGCATGAAGCCAGTGCTTCTAATCCCAGGAAATAGGAATCACAGGTGGGAAGATGGGGAATTCAAAGTCAGTTAGGCGACATAAATGAAAGATTTCCATCACATTTTGACAACCTTCTCAAGCATTAATATGACCTGTAGTAACAAAAGCAACACAATGACAGGGAAACCCCAGCAGGCCTCCCAGTACAGTGTATGACCAGAGCAGGGACCTTTAAGGCCTTGAAGTCTTTTTTTTTCTTTGAGCCTTTGTGCTTTGGAGGATGCTCTCCACACTGGCCTGGGCCTCGGGCAAGATTGCTGCTTGCCCTGAGCACAGAGATTCTAAGGCATAAACCTCCATGAAGCCTAGCTTTCTCCAAATGTTTTATATCTGAAGTTGGTTAGATCTATGAACTCAGAACCCATGGGTACAGAGGGTAACTACACATGTATCAAAGAAACAAAAGAATTCCTATGGGTAGGCTTTCTTAATAGGGACCAGGGGTCTGGGCTCAGGTGTTAAATATTTAGAATAAACTGAATTCTTCCCAATGTAATGAAGTTATTTCTTGGTGGTTTATTGATTTTTTTTTAACACAGTAACTGAAAGGGGTGCTGGTGCCCAGTGATCCTACAACAAAGCATTCCTGATGACTTACTATAAACCATGTTAAAGGGTGGCCACACTGGGCTTGGGGGCTCAAACATGTGATTCTAGACACTCAGAAGGCTGGGATTGTGATGGGGACAAGGGGACCTGGAGGGGCACTTTCATATTCTGTGGTAAAAAGACATGGAATCTGGTGCTGTGGCCGAATGGTTAAAGAACTTCAGATGACCTGGTTGGGTGCCCCACATGGCAGCTCAACACTGCCTTGAACTCCAGCAAGCATGAGGCAGACACGTGACACATATGCACATACATAAGGAATCTGAACACCTACCTGCGGTGGCTCATGCCTTCAACCCAAGAACTGGGAGGCTGATGAAGGAAGACTGAGGCCAAAGTCAATAAAGTATCAATAAAGAAAATTGTTCCTGGTTAGCTTCTGGTCAGAGATATTTCAGAGTACAGCTCTGAAACATAGGGACTCTTTTAGAAGATGATAATGGGCCAGTGAGATCTTAGCAGGAGAAAACACTGGCCATGCCAGTCTAAGCCAGAGGACATGAGTTTGATCTCAGGACTCCAGGAGAAGGTACAAGGAGAGAACCAATTTCAAAAACATTGTCCCCTGACACGCATCCCCATACATGTGCCATGATGCCTGTGCCTGCAACAGAGCAGAGGACGGTGTGAAATAGTGGAGTGAGATCGACAGCCCCAGTCTCCCTGACTACTCATTGCACTGGATGCACCTGTAGATTCCTGTCACAAAGTAATTACTGTCCCCCAGAGACTTTACCACAGTCACAGCACAGAGAGCTCTCTGACACTAGGGAAATGGCTAAACTCCAAATGCACCCTGGGAAATTTTCAGACCTCTGTGGAATGCTAATGCTTCCTGCACCTGCCAGCTGCCACTCAGCCTCTCTGGGAGAGAGATAGCTCTACTTGTCCCTACCTGGTACATTCTCCTTCCTTCATAAGGTCTATTTGGGGCAGTGATCTGTGTCCTGACTGTGTCTCCATTGAACCTAAATGAAGCTAAGTACATTCGCCACGTTGACGCATCCCGTGACAATAAGAATTCTGAGGAGAAGTAAGGAGTTAAATGAGTTAGTCAGGCAACCCAGGTGTCCTTGTAGAAGATCCAGTGTGGAGGGTCCCAGGGGACTTTAGAATTGAGGAATGAGGCCAAGGGCAGGTGCCTAACAGCTAAGGAGCTGTGCTAGAGAAGAGAAGCCAGTCCTGCTCAAGGGAGCAGCTGCCTTCTTTAGTTCCATGAATTGGACCCAAAACTTGATTTTGTTTCTGGAATCACGAGGCAGGAGAGGTTTCCTACAGGAGCAAGCAGGCACTCATAGTACACAGTAGCAAACAGTCTGTTAGGAACTAGCCTAGCTAGGAGAAAACGTTCAGCTGATGCCACCTAGGTTTTCAGAAGAAACACCTGACCTAGGTAGGCCCAGCAGGTAGGCCCTCTAAGTGTCCACATTTACAACTGAAAGAAACCAGGAAAACTGAAGAACAGAGATGGAGACAGAAGCCAGGGGTGGCAGCTCAAGGGTTTAATTCCAGCTCCTACAAAAGTGGAGGCAGAAGAATCCAGATTTCAGTGGTATATCTCTGCATGAAATTCAATAAATTAACTCAATTACATTGGCTTGAGCATGCAACCCAGTAGGAAAATGCTGGCTGATCTGCAGGGAGCCCTGGGCTACTGGTGAGTGCTCCAGGTTTAAGTACAGACCAAATTAGGGTGGGCACAGGCGATCCTTATTAATTGGCCCTGGTCAAAGTTTCTCTTATTGGTCAAGCTCAGCCTGGGTTGTGTGAAGTGGTCTCAGGCCCTCCTCACTGTCACTGTGCAGAGGATCAAATTTGGCTCTTGGAAGGTGATTCCTCAAACTCCAGGGTGCAGCCTTATCCTGGAAGGTAATTACCTCATCTGCTGAGTGTAGGGGAGGGGCTTCTGTCCTGAGAGGTTTTGTTGTTCCTGGGATCCAAGCTCACTACAAGTTTAGGACAAAGATTTATATGTGTGCTCTGAGCCTCCTCATACTGCAACAAGCAGATGCAAAATGAAGACAGAAGGCAGCTGCCTTTGTTCATTTGCCTATCTGTGCTCTCAGGGAGGATTCAGGCCCCTCCACAAAAGCAGCTCCCAATTCCTGGTTTTACTATGAACATTTGTATTTGTTTGTTTTGAGAGAGGGTCCCAAGATGGCCCAAGCCTTGAACTCACAGAGATCCTCCTGTGTCTGCCTCCCGCGGGCTGGGTTTAAATGTGTGGGCCACCGTGCCTGGCTTTAGCTACAGTTTGGATAGTTTAGCAAGTAATGGATCTAAACACAAAGAGGTTTTATTTTTATTTATTTATCTGTTTTTTGGAGGCAGAGGCAAACCTGGTCTGCATTATAAGATTCAATCAAGAAAGCAAGGATGAGTGAGAACCTGTCTGTTAGAAAAAAAATAAACAATAAAACAAAGAGAACGCTGAAAATTTTTGTAGGCTTGCTTGTTCAGTTTCATAAATTTTTAATAACACTTATTTACCAAGCATGTTTTAGTGTGCCCTTGTACCAGGGTGTGTGTTGGTCACAGGACAAAATGTGGTCCCTGGGTCCAAATTCAGGTCATCAGACTTGGCAGCAAGCACCTTTTCCCTTGAGCAGTTTGTGTTTTGAGCCTCAGATTCCTCTGTATTTCAGGAGAGGACTTTGAACAGGGTGAATTTGTCTCCACCATTACCTAACATTCAAGGTGTGTCTCATCACCCTGCAGGGGTTACTTTTATTTCATTTGTTTGCATACTAAGGTTATCTGTGTTCTGGGTTTTTAATTCCTAAGGTCTTCTGTGGTACATTTAATTATAAAAATAAAAACCAAATGTGGTATGATTTCTTTTAAGAAGGCAGAGAGAGGTGAAAGTTTAGAGCAAGACTGTCCTTATTTACCTGATTCCAAGAGTTTGGCTGGTGGTTGGGATGTAGCTGCTTCCTAGCTGTCACGTAAAACAACAGTCCTACCCTGTGCTACTTGGCTGTAATCCCTGCATTTGGGAGGCTGAAACAAACAGCATTGCTTCCATTTCAAGGCAAGCCCAGGCTGAATGTACCACGGGGAATCCCAGGATATTCTGCTATCGTATGAGACTGTGAACACAAGCCTTGATGTCCAGCACCCGGAGGCAGAGGTTGGTGAATCTCTGTGAATTGAGGTCAGCATGACTTACATGGTGAATTCGAGTTCAGATGAGCTACTAGTGAAAACTTCTCACACACAAAAACAGAAAACAAACTATATCTAAACAATAACAACAAAGCAAAGCAATGAAAATCATGGCCTAGGGACATAGCTCAGTGTGTACAGCACCTGCTTAGCCTGCTTGAGGCCCTGAGTGTGATTTCCATCAGGACTCCTGTGGTCTCAGCCCTATCATGTCAGCACTTGGGAAGCAGAGAGGATCATGGGTTACAGGATATTTCATCAAGGCTGTGCCTCCTCTTTTTATTGTCAGTCTACACCCAGGGCTCTGCCCTTGTCACAGTTTGCAGGGGACAGGTGAACATGTGTGCTGTGTGGCCATGTGGGCAGAGGAGGCAGGGCTCAACTCAGTGTTCCAGGCTTGGGAATGACTGAGATGTCATCAGTCAGAGTTTAAAGGGAGCCAGATACTGAGTGGGACCTGGGACCATCTGAACTAACCTAGTATTATTTTATTCTTTTAAAGTAATTTCTTATTACTGAAAGCAACTGTGAGCTGCAAGAGTTCAGAAGAGCAGCTGTCCTCTTGAGCTGTCACGGGCTGCAAGTCCATGCCAAGGACCTTGTTGGAAACTGGAATTAGAGGCTAAAACCACAAAGGACTCAAGGCTTCCACCACTGTAGGGTAACCCAGGAGACAACAGTGGGGCAACAGCGGTTTCAAGGAGGGAACTGCAGGACAATTGAGTCAGCTTGTCCTGCAGGGCACCCCAGAGCCCTGCAAGTGTCAGAAGAAAGCCCACCCAGGTCCAGACCTTTATACCCAGCCTGATGTCACAGGCATCGAACTTGACCAAACTCCAGGCAGAGACCAAATGTAACATCTGTCTGGATGACCTGCAAGAACCAGTCACCACAGAATGTGGACACAACTTCTGTGATACCTGCCTCACATCCTTCTATGAGCAAGGGCAAGAATGGTTCCCCTGCCCGGTCTGTCGACACCAATGCAATGTGAGGAATCTCTCAAACAATGATCAGCTTGGGATAATAGTTGAAATGGCCCAGGACCTGTATAGCTTGACAAGCAAGAGCAACAGTCAGGAGACCAGCACTAGCTGTGAGCAACACAACCAGGTCCTGACCTTGTTCTGTGAGTATGACCTGCAGCTGCTGTGTGACCAGTGCATCAGGCCTGGGAGCCACAATGGCCATCAGGTGACCCCCATTGCACAGGCTGCCTCTCATCACAGGAGAAAGCTTCACAGATTGACCAAATCCCTCCAGAAGAAACTAAAAGAGGTTCACAAGTTAAAAACTCTTCAAATAAAAAAATCCCAGAAGTTAAGGCAACAGGTAGAAGCCCAGAGGAAAGAACTGACATCTGAATTTCAGCAACTCAGCCAGTTTTTAAATAGGGAACAGAAGACAGCTTTCTCCAGGCTAAAGGACGAGGAGCAGGATCTCAAGCAGAAACTGAGCGAAAACATAGCAGCATTTGAGAACCATGTTTCCACAGTCAGAGGGCTCTTTAGCCACGTGGTGGCAGGCAGAGCACACTCAGATGTAGAAACACTGTCGAGAGTCAAGGATTTCTGCCAGAAATCTGAGAGTCTTCATCTCCCAGGCATTGTCCCAGCTCAGATAAGAAGAGAAGCCTACAACTTTCCTCCTCAGCATTCAGCTCTACAGAAACTTATACAGCGATTTACAGTTCAGGTAACTCTAGACCCAGAAACAGCCCATCCAAACCTGCTTGTGTCTGAGGACAGAAAACGTGTCACATTGTTAAAGAAAAAACAACGTCTTCCACGTTCTTCAAAAAGGTTTATCAGGAGTCGTGTTGTGTTGGGGATTCCGAATTTTAATTCAGGGAGACATTACTGGGAGGTGAAGGTGGGAGAGAAGTCTGAATGGGCTATTGGTATCTGCAAAGCCAATTTGGCCCCTGGGGAAAAGCGTTCCTTCTCTGCCCC